GTGAGTGTCGTATGTGAGCGGGCGAGTGCAACAGACAAGTGCAGACAATGAGTTACGGGTGCTTTCGAGTTGGTTGAACTGAAACTGACTTTAGAATATGAAACCCAAACCTGACCCATTTTCCAAATGGGTTGACTCGGATCTAGAATTTTCGAGTCGGATTTTCGGTTTGTGTCAAATATTGACACCACTAACTGCAAGCATACAAGATTTGGAGATTATTTATGCCCAATTAACATCTCAAAGTTATCAATTATACATCAAGTGATTTATCTGAGCTCATATGTAGTCCGATCAAATCATTTTTGACATTGATTGTTTCTTCTCATTTAGACACTCAATTTGAGTATAAATTTTAAAAAATTGTAATTTAGATGCTCTTCAGTTTAATTCCACAAATTCTCAATTCCAATTTGCATTGAGATTCTACTTGATTTAGTGGGTATTCTTTTATGCATAATTAAAATTTCAAATATATCTATATAATAATTCTCCCCATAATTTAATTCATCTAAGATAATTAGAGAGCCCAAATATTTGACCTTTTTTTTAATGAAAGTGTGCCTCATTTGATTGATTTAAAATTAATTGTGAAAAAATCTCAAGATTTTATTACTAAAATAATCAGCTTTTATGAGCGAGAAAAAAACAAAGAGGGAGATATTTTAGGTCTAAATAAATATCTTAACGAATTAATTTACAAAAGATTTGGTATGATTCCTTTCCCTTAAGAGTGGCGCGCGCCTAATTAGGCCATAGGGAAATTTGATATATATCTTACTTTCTTATATAAAATGATTATTTATTATTTATCTTTTGGTTTCTCATTTTTATAATAAGTATTTAAATCATAATCATTTTTTTCATTTTCGTTATAAAAGAACCAGCTTGAACTCGTAGAATTAAGCTCAAATTTAATTAATTAATTAAGCTCAATCTCAAGGTGGAGTATGATTATGTAGTTTTATAAGACGAGTAGAACTCTCAATGATGTGCCAAAAAAAAAAAACTTAAAATGAATATAGGACATAAGCTAAGTGAAGAATTTATCAAATAATTTGGTGGTGACTTCCATAATTACTAACCACAAGATATTAAATTGAATGTTTTACATAAACTAATAGAGGTCAATTCATGAAAGCAAGTTAATATTATTATTTGAATATCTTAGAGCATCTCTAACCGAACTGTATATCTTTGTATGCCGTTGTTCGTGAATCGCTGCATTCGAACTCAAAATCTCTAGCAAAAAATTGATAGGTAAACAGTGCAACAACAATATTAGTATCAGACTATTAACCTATGCCAAAAAAAAATAAAAATATTACCTTTCGCAAGAAGCGTGCGAAACAGGAGAGAGATGGTTACCTTTATAAAGAAGCACGCGAAAAAAGAAAAATGGAGTTACATTAGAGATGAATTACTGTATTTTGAAGTTTTACGACATTTTAGAGTGGAAAATTGGGTTTTCAGTTGGAGATGCCCTTATGGGGGATGAAAGGCTTCATTTAAGACAATTTCTTACTGTTTTCAAAAATAACTTTATAATACAAAAAAAAAAATACTAAAGAACTACTTTGAAAAAACAATAAAAAAGTTTTTACAAACGAAGCCTAACTATGGATTATTGGATTGTAATTTGAAGGTCTCCAAAGAGATCATAGTATAGTTAAATATTTGAAATATTTATATAATTTTTTTAATGTAAAGTGAGATAATATTTTAGGATTCATTTAGGTCAGCTTTTTTATCGTTTTGTTTTTCAGAATGTAATCAAAATTTTGTTTCATTCGTTGCCTTTTAACTGATTTTAATATATTTGTGTGCAAGTAAATTGTTTTATACATCAACTTTTATAAAAACTGTTTTCTCCACAACAATTTTAAAATCACTTTTATAAAAAATTATGATCATCTCAATAGGGAGAGATTATTTTGTGCGGAGTCCGGACACATCCAGAGGCTAATCCGGACTGCCATGTCATCCAATGCACTGGTGACATAGCGCATCCGGACGCTTCCGAACCCCGCACGTAATACTTTTTTCTCAATCAATAATTGTGTTTTCTAAACTTTCTAAACTAAAAAAAAAAAATTCAAGACTCAATATTTAAAAGAGAAAATTGTTTTTTTCAAAATCATGAATTAAATAAGGGTAAGAATTTTAAATAGAAATTTTAATAAAAAAAGTTTTTTGAACTTTATGGATTATATTTTGACTAAAAAATATTTTAAATTTGCAGCAACGCGACGAAGAAGGGGAGACTCAGCCAACAGCGCCGGCGGCTTAACTAATTAATTAAAAAATATGTAAAATATTTTGAAAAATACTTTTTTTTTTAAAACGTCGCCGTCAAGAAGGAAAAATATTGGCTTTGCCCAAACTGAACGTTTCTCTGATATTTTTATTAATGGAAAATAAGAGAAGGGAGGAAAAAGAAGAGAAAAATCGCTTCATCGGCGAATCGTTTTCTCAGATTATAGTTTGAAGGGTAATTCTTCCATCTTTTTTCTTTTTTTATGCGATTTCTTTGAGTTTTTCGCTTCTGCTTGTTGTTATTGCATAATGTTTTTCTTGTATGCAGGGTTCTGGCGGCAATTTACGGGTGGTTTGGGGGGTTGATTTGTTCGATTGTTGTGGAATTTCAGGTCTTTGAGGTAAATTTGACGTGTTAAGTTGATAAATTTTTATGCTTTGTGCCTGTTGTTTGGATTGGGGTACTCGGAAAAGGAGTATAATTTGCTTTTGGAGGGTTTTTGGGGTTTGGTTTTAAGGTTTATAATTCTGCTTTTGGGAATTTTTCTGCGGTTAAGTTGAAAAAGCTTCTTAAAATTTTTATTTTTTGGGGTTGATTCGTATTAAGCTCTATTGATGTAGGATTGGTTTCGATTTCAGTTTAGTTTTTGATATGAAATTATATGGAAAACGATGCACTCTTTAATGAATTAGGTTTTGTTTAAGCCAACAGAACTTTGCCTCATTCTGATGAGAAATTATTTGGACGCCGAACGCAGCTCTACGTTCGGAGACCAACTAGAATGAGTCATGTCAGCAATATTGAGGCGGGGTACCGACGGGCTCATTCTGGTTGATCTCCGGACAGCATTCGGCATCCGCACAGAGTAATTTCTCCATTCTGATAACTTCTATGGCATCTTCCTCATCACTGAATCCATTGATCCCATAGTTCTTTCTCCTAAAAAAATGAAACTTATCACCTTATCCTTATGAATTTTTTATTCAGTGAAAGTGGTTGAAAATTAAAATAATCAGAACAAGATGCCTTCTTCTGTTTTATTATGATTGGTTGAAAACCTCTAGCAGTAGTGTTGCCCATTCAAGAACTCTATTACCATATTAGCTACGTTTTCCTATTAGCAATAGAATAAATTCCGAGAGAGAGAAAAAAGGAATTCCAATAACTAAGCAGCTGGTTTTATTTTGGAATCCTTTGATTTAAGTACCTACTATTCCAAGGCCTCGAAAGTGTTGTGCATGACTAAGTGTGACTAATTGAGTGGTGCCTCTACTTGTTAGTTCTTATGATGTGATCATGCGATTTTAAGTTTAACTATTCTGAATCCCAAGCTAAAGAGACTTGCTAGATGATCCATATGTAAAAACCATTTAGGTTTTTTTTAAATGGGCTAGGATTTTAAGAAACACATTATCATTTTGATGCTGGGTGACTCAAGATTAAAGTTTACTAATACAATAGAAAAAAAAAAGTTTACTAATTATGATGCTGGTATGAATACATGCAAAGAAAATTGAAGATTCGCATGTTGTGTCACCAAATAAATCAATCACTTTCTTTTTTTAAATGACAAACAATATTAAAATTATAATATAAATGATAATAAAATTATATAAATAATACAAGCAAGGGATTGAAACATGTAAAATTAGTGACCACTTAAAATTAATTAATTAATTTCCAAAATTATAGTTTTGACATGGCAATTTTCTATCAAAAAATAAAGAGCACTTAATAAATCAATATCAAATTATGTAGATGAAATAGAATAAGGAATGAAATTATTTAAGCAAGCAAAAAGTAAGGCTCATTTTCCATATATGAAAAGGAACTACAAACATAGCTAAAAGAGGCCACATCACGACAATACAAAGCTAAAATAACTACAAATAGCGACAGATTGAAAATCCCAAAAACAAAGCGAAAGAAAATAAGGCCCTGAAGGCATTTGGACTTAGAAAAGCCGCCTGGTTGCCATGCTTGGACCATCCATTGGAGGCAGAGAAAAAACAACAAGAAGTACCATTGACCAATCAAAGGAATCAACAACTAAGGTTGCCAACAAGCCAAGCTCGTCTAAGGGGGCGAGCAGGAAACCTGCCACATCATTGTTTGGACCTGAAAAAAAAAATAACAACACATAACCCCATGAAAAGAGTCGCCAGAACCCTGTATGAACTCACACAAGCCATAAACCAAAATCTTCAGCCCATGGCTCCACCAGCCAAAAACTAGTAAGCACAGGCAAACCAAAAAAGGGGAGGGCCATCACAACAGACCCCATACAAGAAAAATAAGCTCTAGGCGGCAACCGAAAGAAGTCCAACATCAATACCAGATTGACAGAGAAAGCCAGCACAAAATACAAGAACAACAAACAAATGAAACTACTTCCTTTTTACTTTTCGTTTACCCCATTTGCTAGGGCTGTAAGCGAACCAATTCGACGAGCTACTCGTTTCTCGATTTGATTAAAGCTCATATGTGATCTTTTAATTAACTAAACAAATAAACTTAAACAAAATTTTAAATAATCAGTTTTTAAATAAACAAGCTTAAACAATAATGTGTTTGACTCATTCATGTTCATGAACAACGTCATTTGAAGCTCTTGAACAAGCTCGACATTAAGCTCGATTCGTGTTTGATTCAGAACTCATGAATAAGCTTGATAAAAACTCGATTAATATTTAATTATAAAATTATAAAATATACATAATATAAATATTTTATATTTATTATAATATAGTGATATAATTATTGTTAATTAATAAAATTTAAAGTACTTAAATATTATAATATATGCTAACTAAAATAAATTTTACATATTTATTAAACCGATATTATATATTATTTAACTATAATTTTTTTTAGTTTATTATTCCAGAGAAATTAAAATTGGTGCTTCTGAATACTAAAAGAGAAAAGACAGACGAAATGCGGCAAACGCCAAAACCTTCACTTTGTAATTTTGCCCTAATCTTTCTCCCCAGATGCCGAACTTTCTTCCTTGCTCTTGCGCCCAGCTCAAGCCCTGACTCCCAAATGGCCGCTCAAGCCCCGACTCCCGAACAACCGAATTGGGTTTCTTTCCTCTTCGTTCTCCCATACGCACCAAGTCTTGAACCCTCTTGTTTCTTCCCTCATTGTTCTCCTAACACCACTCAAGTTTGCGTTTTCAAGGCCAACATCGACGGTAACTCGGTAAGTTATAGCTACTTCAAATATTACTTTTGTTTGTTCTTTTCTCTTCTTTCTCGCATACCTTTGTTTCTTTCTATTAGAAGGCTTCTCCTCTCCTATAGATCATCTCATAATTATTTTAACAACATGAGTAAAAACGATCCAATAGAGTCTATACAGTTATGATGTGAGACATTAAAGTTTCGTTTGTAACAATTTTTTTCTATTGTTAGAAGTGTATATCGGTCCTCCTTATTGTGGTACTTTTCTTTGCATTCACAAACCGATTAATATGTTAATTATTTGGGGGGAGTGTAGCATTTATTTTAATATAGTTCGAATAGGATTCCTATTTAATATAATCGTTGACTCATCTTTGAAAGGTATGTCGCAAAATTCACCACAACAGCATCAAAATTCTACAACTTAACTACAGTTGATAGTGCAAAATGTCCAAATTAGTGATGGGTCATCTTCAAGTCCGAAAGTTGTAACAGAACGTGACCAACAAGAAAATCTTTTTTCTAAGAAAGCAAGAAAAAATGCCTCATCAGTGTTGCAGAAATTTACACCCGTAAAACTTGGTGATGGGACTAAGAAGGTCCAAGTCATGAACTGGCTCATTTGATAACTCAAGAATACTCGTTATATATGTTCATGAACTGTTTTTTTTTATAGTTTAAAAAAATTGCTAAATATGTTCACGAACACAGCTTGTTAAGGCTTGTTTGTTTAAAGCTCGTTAAGCACTAAATGAACCGAACATGAACTAAACATGAACACTCATTAATTTAAACAAACAAAACACGAACCAAACATAATAACTCATACTTTTCTTAATAAATTCCTTCTTTAAGTAATTCATCAACTTGCCTATTAAGTTTAACATATTTTGTTGGATTCATTCTACAATGAGAAAAATTAAGCAATGATAATTCATGAACTAAATCAATAAAATATTATATATTCCTAAGTGATGGTAATTCATGGCAAATTTTATCAAGAAAAATATCTTTAAATTCATATATTATTTAATTAACATCACAGTTAATGTCACAACTTCATACCTACTTTCTTAATCTCAACAACTATCGCTCTCTTTCTCAAATCCATGATTACTCGAGTACAAAAAGAATTTTTTTTAAGCATAAGATTCTTGGGCATATTCAAATTTTCTATTAGGTTTTGTAGATTTTAAAACAATCATCCTCCAATTAGTCTTGAAAGCATATGTATTAAACCTCTTAGAAAGTGTAGCATTTAAATCATGCAATCAAAGCCTACTCAAAATAATATAAGCAATATCCATGGGCAACATATCACGTCCATTTTTATTGATATAGATGACTAATGGAATCAAAACTAGACATCTATAAAACACAAAAATATCTATTTTACTTACCCATGTTAACTTATAATTGTGGATATGGTTTAGGTTACACATTTATGTGGTCTATGATAGACTTAGACATAGCATTTGTATAACTCCTACCATCAACTATAATCTCACAAAGGTTACCTCACGTTTGAAATAAGTTTGAACAAATGTAGTTCTCTTCTGATCAAATTTAATCTTTGGAGTAGTTATGTTGCTATGCATGACATTAAAAAATTTCCTTCTTTGCATCAATATGAAAGCTCCTACGGGACTCATTGGCATAATGACTAGTTTGTTAGCACTTACAGCTTATTTTTAATGTCATACATTTCAGTATAGCTACTCCTAAGGTTAAAGCATGTTTTGATTAAAATCTTAGACCTTGATGTACATGTAGTTGATTTCAATTATTGTCCTTATTGAATGTAGTGTCGGTACTCTTAGATGCAAAAAGTGTAATAGATTGAACTTGGTTTCTTTAATGAAATGATGCACTCTCTAAATGTGTGGCCATCCTCTTATATTTGTGAAATTTTAACACTTGTTCAAAGCATAATCCAAGTTAAAAAGTATGTTTACATAATGGAATGTGCAAAGGTGCCATATCTCTCTTGATATTAGATCTCAAACCAAACTTTGACCTAAAGATTAGTTTAAGAATCTTCAATGACCTCAGAACACAACATCAATTATTCAATATTATTCATATATTTAGTTCTAGTTTTGGCCCCTTGCTTTAATGAATTAAACTCATCAAAAAAATGTCAAGAAAGGACAATAAATATTTTTCTTCTAAAAGTTATTTCATTTCAACTATGTGGTGGTACATTTTCTTCTCA